CCACACACACGCGCACACACACACACGCGCATGCACGCACACGCACACACACGCCGGGGCATTTTAACAGCCATGCCCCAAACGAAGAGTGTGAAAACTGCACCAAAAACTGGTTACGGGCGTGCTATGAAGACCTGATAGGAGGTACTCCACCAACACACACACGCACACGCACGCACACACACCGGCAGCCCGTAAAACACCGATATTCTCTAATGTGGTTTTTCGGGTGGCTGTAGATTTTGCCAAACAGCTTTCCTCCAGAAGCACTACTTTGCTGTGCTCACAAAAGGACCTCATTCCCGCGGCGCGTGAATGAATCCCGACCCCCGATCCGCCACCATTCATGCATCCCCCAGCCGAGCTGTTTACTTAATCCATAGAGAGCGGTGGCCGCGCTCCCCCGGCCTCAGCGAAACTCAGTGCTCCAGCTCGCTGGACGCGCTGCTCGGGAAAGGTGGGTGCCTCGGGGGCGGGAGGGGCCGGGCGCCGGGCCTGGAGTCCACAGCGCCGGCGGGGGGACGCGGGGGGACGCGGCGGGGACCGGCTCGGCCCCCCGCGGGCCCCGGGGCTGCGCCGCCGAGACTCGCCCGCTGAGGTCGGCCGGGGGCTACGCCGCGCCCCCCTCGTGCGCCCGCGGTCTCGGACCCCGGCGACCGCCTAGGGGAGAGCCGGGCCCGCACCCCGGGGAGGGAGGACGGTCCCCGGGGCTGGCGGCGTGTGCTCACGGGGTCCGAGCGAACTCTGAATGATGTGCCACGGCTGGACAACCCAGATCTGGACTAGCTAACGTGGTGTTCCAACTAGCTTGACTTTTAAATAAAACATAGTTCAGTATTGCGGCCCTTCCATTTTTATTTAAAAATTGCCTCCCTCCCCCTCCAGATCCACTCTTGTCATTATCTTTGTATTGCCTCCAGTCCAACGTCCCTCCTTCAATTTGTCTTTTTTTTTCTAGAACATTCCATCCCCCTCAGCTTCTTCCTCCATTAAACTGAGAATTGAATGTGTGTTAGTGAGTTTTGGGATTTACCCGTGTTTTCTTCCAATTCCTCAAGACCCCTCCGTATTTTTATGAAGAAACAGAAAACATGAAGCAGACGTTACGCTACGGACATCAATCAGCACATCTTTGTATGATTAGCTGTCAGTCCACATTGGAACGAACTGCCGTCTAAATACAGGCTTAAACCAAAAAATTAATACTTTAAGAAAGGGTTAGTGTGCTCCATTTATCAGTAAGATCCAGTAAAGAATGTATTCTCACCTCAATCTGTGATTCAAAAACAGTCATTTCTTTTTCCTATGTAGCATACTCCTTTTACCTTGACTTTTGTCACTTTTTACATCTAATGCTACCTATGGTAAGGGGAACACAGCTCATCAACCTCTCGGTGGATACTTTTCCTTCTCTGTTTTCATTACCATCTAACACATTCATCATCGTACATGGAAATGTCTGGTGTTACTCAACGCTTAAGTCTCTACCCCATAGGGTTCTTTTCTTTCAGGCATGATGGCTCCTCTAAAATCGTGACTCACAAACATTCTATTACAACATGACTATCACAACCAACATTTCTGTTCTTCCCTGAGTGATCAACATGTTCACCCTTTCATTAGGACGTTAGCAAGGTACCCTAGAAACTGTTTAAACATTTCTTTGACACGGCCTAAATTTCAAAGTTATTTCAGGGTTTTGCAAATCTCTTTAGTAAAATTGGGTCAAAAAACAGAACAATAGATATTTTGTGGGGCTCCAAAAGCCTTCGGAGCTCTTAAGCAAATATCTTCCTAAGTCATAATATTGTGAACATGATCGTTTCACAGATCAGGGTGATGTGTGTGACTCTTCCTGTGTGTGTGTGTGTGGGGGGGGGTGTTGCTTGAGGTAATTGCCAATAAACACTACATAACTATTTAGGCCATTCAACTGGACTCTTAGAGCAATTAAATAGGTAAAACACTGCACAGCTGCAATTTTTCAGGACCTGCAGGTCTTGTCCACGTTTCAGATACGTACCCCTGGATTTTCGATGACACAAATTAGCAGATGTGGATTTGAATAAGAACATTAGAGGACACAAAGGGGAACACTCTAGTGGGAGGAATGAAAGGTTTTAAAATCTTAAATCCCTGTGTGGGCCAAGACGAATCTCAAGAAGATTGATATTTGGCCTCCTCATCTCCCCAGATAAATGCTATGTAAATCGGTCACTGATTGATTGATAGCATTTATTAAAATTCCAGTTTACAATGCTAATTAAGCAATGCCCATTTATAAGTATCAGATACAGGGAGGTCAATTCTTATACTGGACAATACTGGAATATTCTACGCGTATATCTAGTCCTACCTTTTCTGGACACAAAGCTAATTATTTCCAAATTGCACAAAGACGGTGTCCCTTGAGAATAATCAAGGGCTTACTTTGAACAGAGCTGCGCAGCAGCGGCAGCAGCCCATGCGGAAGAAGAGGGACAGACGTGGTTTTAAACAGTTTCTATCGCTGAATAGGGAAGGATGGTTTCCACATACGTCTTCCCGAGAAAAGACAAGTTTTGTGACCACTCCCACCCATACGTTAAATCACTGCCATCTTGGAAATAAAGGAGTCTAATACAGAGTTCGAGAGAGACACAGAATAAGGCCCACATGAAACTTCTGTGTACTATAGTTTGCCATCTTGATGATGTCAGGAATAATTAGCATTATGGATACTGCCTTTTATAACTTAAGCATTTCTTGTCTAAGATCTGCAGAATTCCCCACAGTTCTCTGAGCAGACACTATTAAATATGTTGAATTATGTGGCTATTTTATGTTGTGAATAAATAACCACATGGAATCATGCTTGCGCTATTAAATGAATTTTACTTATAACTGAATTCAGTTCTTTAGGCATAAAAGCCTAATGACTGCACACCACAAGGAAGATTTTTAAAAATGCATGAACCAAACCAAATCAAAGCAAATTGTATTTAAAAAAAAAAAAAAAAGAAGCCCATGAATGAGCTGTTACTTCAAACTGGCACCGACTTAGCTTTAATATTAAGACTTCTTCTCACCTCTTTCTACTTAGGCCCCAACCCTTGGAAAAAAACAAAACAAAACAAAAAAAAAACCCAGAGTTTAACCAAAACTGAGGTGATTACCTTTTTTGGTCGTGATGAGGCACTGAAACCATATTGTCAGAGATGCTAATACAAAGTCAAAATCAAACCCTTTTACCTCTACTGAACATGGGATGTCTGATAACAAGCGACACTGAGCGCTTCATATGACTGTCACTCTACTGAGCATTTGACACATGCGCTTTTTATTTCTCTAAGCCCTTGTATTGTTATCCCATTTTACAGATGAGGAACCGAGAACTTAAAAGAGAGTAATAATGGTCCAAATAGTTACAGAGTACCAGAGCTTAAATTCAGCCCTGAGGCTTAAACCATTTCACTAAAGCATTGACTCAGTGGTTAAAACTGGTATCAGGAGGATAGATTGCTTCC